CCCCCCCCCCCCCACACCCCCGCCCCCACCCCCACCCCCACCCACACGCACACCCACAGCAACACCCACACACCCACACCCACCCACACGCACACTCACAGCAACACCCACACACCCACACGCACACCCATCCTGATACTTCTAGAATCGGACAAGACAGAACATTAAGAATGCTTTGCTTGCACTCGAAAAGAAGATCAGATGATGTTAAATGACGACATTTATGAAGATATGAAGTAGAAACAGGATATGACAAAGAAAAAGCTGGGAAAAAACCAGAGCAAATATTATTTCTTCATTGATTTACACAATGAATCACTTGCGTTCTATAAAAACTATTTTTTGAAGTTTATTTTCATATACATGATAGATTCAAACAGTTGATTATAGTTATTATAACTTTGCTTAAGATCGTAGAGAGTTCATTATGTCCGATAACGTTAAAGTAACAGAGTGGGTAGCAAATCTTCATTGTTTTAGTGAAGCAGAACCGGGAGATCTGATCGAATTCAATCGGGGTCGTTATAGTCATTGGGCGGTTTACATTGGTAAATGAATTTTTTTCGTGTTTGTTTTATTTGTAAAAGTTCGATTTAGGCGACCGACAAGTCATTCATCGATGGGGTGAAAATGATGGAGTCGGGAAATCAATAGGTGTAATGGGAAATATAAAGACAATTTTTGGAGTCAATTTTGATAAAGCCACAATACTTCAATCACATATATCTGATGTACTTAAACATGGTGGCAAAGTTCGAGTTAACAACTACCGTGATGCAATATGGGAGTATGTTATTGAGAAAAAAAATTAAAAGATTTGCAAGATTATCATCTAGACGTTAGATTTACGGTTAATAGTAGGAAAAAAAGAAATTTTGTATTTCTAATTAAATTCTCTTATCTTGAGTAAATACGTCGATTGTTCTCGAATGTAAAGTCTATGAACATATTCTTCACATATTATTCTGATAAGTTCGACTCTGAAGAAAACAATCTTACTCAGATTACATAAATTTAGGGAAACAAAAAAAGCAGCTACGAAAATCACGCCACAGAGATTGAAATTCATCAAACTCTTTTTATGATTAGTGTCATTTTCTATTTGAATTGAAATTGACACCTAAAGAAAAACACTTTCTCAACAATACATAGAAATTCTAACAATGCTAGAATAGTATATTTATGTTAAATAAGATGAGAGAATTTTTTGTTTGTCAAATTTTATTTAAGGCCACAGCCTGTAACAATCATTGTTCAAAGTAGTCGACTTTGTATCGGTCAAGAAGGTTACAATTTGATATACAATAACTGTGAACATTTTGCTACCAATTGTCGTTATGGCGAACCATATTCTCGACAAGTAAGAAAAAATATTTCGCATCGAAATCAAAGACAAAGACGAATTTGGTTGTTTGAGGTGCGAACAGTGGCAAGATCTATCGCAGCTGGATTAGTCATCGCATCATTGCTTGGTGCTGCTGCTTACGGCTTCAATCGTGCACTGAAAAGTGAAGAAATAGAGGAAGAGGAAGAAAAAGAAACAAAAGAGAAAAAGAAGCCAACGTAAATGTAATCCAATATGGTGAAACCTTTTCTTTTCGCCTATGCATTCTCTTCAGTCAAATTTTGTGATACTCGGCACAACAGAATTTATGAGATATATCTAGTTTCTCTTTTTCTTTTTGAATATTATAAAAACAAAGTTCTACACAAAATTCAAAATTATAGTGTCGATGTTACTTCGGTGCGTTACACCTTCATCAGATAATAAAAAAATAATTTATACGGCTTGATTGAGGGTGTGGGTGTCGATGTGGGTGTGAGTGTGTGGGTGTCGGTGTGAGTGTGTAGTGTGGGTGTGAGTGTGTGCGTGGTTAGGTTTGGGTGTCGGTATTAGTGTGAAGAAAACTTTCTTACCCACACCCACACGCATCACTCTCGGCGTATAACTTTTTCAAAGCATCCAAAAGTTCATTTGATGTCCACATCATTAGTTCGTGAGGATTTGGATCATGCGAAACTTGAGACTTTCCATCTAATACGTCAGATAATCAATTAAGTTTTCTATAAACTTCATCAACTTTGGCTCGAATTGGTAATACTGCTGATCTAAGTACAATTGTCGTTACGGAAAATTTGGGTTAAATTTACAAACTTACCTTGGGATGTGGGTGTGGGTATGTGGCTGTGGCTGTGGCTGTGTGACATAAGTGTGGTTGTGGGTGTGGGGTGTATGTGGTTAGGTTTGGGTGTCAGTATTAGTTTGAAGAAAAATTTCTTACCCCCATCCACACCCACGCCCACACCCACACCCACATCCACACCCACCCACATTCACATCCACACCCACACCCAAGATCGCATTTTTCATTAAAAAGCTCGAATTAAAAGAGAAAGAATTATATTCTACTACTAATGGTTGATTATTTTTACTGTTTTCAAAAATATGTATTAAGTGTACTCCTGTAAAAATATCATTAGAAAAACCAACAAGGGTGTGGGTGTGGGTGTGGGGTGTGGGTGTGGGTGGGTGCCCAAGCAGACAAACATTTTCAAAAACGCGTTTAAACGCATAAAAAAGGGCTTAAAATCCATAAAAAGTGGACGTGTTTAGCTCACAATCGCGGTTCCCGACTGTCAGCGAAAAACGACCACTTTTTGCCCTTTTTATGCGTTTAAACGCGTTTTCAGCAACAACACGCTTGTAAACTCGTATAAACGCATAAAAAGAACATAAAAAGTAGTTATCTTTTTCCTTTTCGTGAACTGTGATTGTAATTATGATTGTGATTTATGAGTATGAAAAAGATGACAACTTTTTATGATCGTCTTATGCGTTTACACGCGTTTATCACCGTTTTTTTTTGCTGAAAACGTGTTTAAACGCACAAAAAGGGCAAAAAGTGGTCGTTTTTCGCTGACAGTCGGAAACCGCGATTGTGAGCCAAACACGTCCACTTTTTATAGATTTTAAGCCCTTTTTTATGCGTTTAAACGCGTTTTTGAAAATGTTTGTCTGCTTGGGTAGTAGGAAAGAGAGGGGAAAAAAATAATTAAAATAAATAAATATACACCTATGAACAAACATATGTTTATATAATTTTCTTCACTCAATTTTCAGATCTTATACCTATGGTTAGACATATTTTAATATAATTCTTTCAAGATATAATTTTTAAATGTTGCGCATATAGTTAGATATATTAGGATAGAATTGTTTCATTATAAAATTTCTAAATCTTATACTTCAAGTGAAGAATATTGTCATAGAATTCTTTCATAAGTTAATTTCCAGATCTGATACCGACAGTTAACAGATTTTTGTATAATTCTTTCATAATATAATTTCTAAATATTAACCCTATAAATGGAACTAAGTGCGTATGATTTCTTCAATAATTAATTTCTTGATGTAACTTTCATATTCATACACGTAATACTACAAATCTTATAAGTACCAGAATTTACGCTTATAATTATACGTATTTGTATAGCTTATTTGTCTTCTTGATTACATACCGATATCTTGACATATTCACATGTGGTTCCCTCATCATTATATTTCTTGTTGTTTTACGTATATATATCTCACTACCGAGTTAATATTAAATATCATTCTTATTTCCATATATCTATTTGCATACTGGTATTCAATTAGCATCAAACATTATAGTCTTAAATAAATCCAGATACATTCATTATAATTTATTTTATATTGATTATCTACGCTACTCAGATAGAAACACACATATTAGCATCAATTGTTTTGTTTCCATCATAATATCATCCTTATAGATTCATACATTGATTATTAATTCACTTAATATTTATCATATTTATCGTCTTACTCTCACTCATAAAATTATACATAATATAATTCACATTTCAACTTAGTCTGACTCAGAAATCTATATACGTATTACGCATGTCTAATGAAGAGTTCTTATTGATATTTTACTATTCTTATGATTTGTTTTGTCCCTTTTTTTTATGCTACAAATTAATCAATGGTCATCATCTACATCTTACTCATATATATACTTATACACAAAATATTATAATTTCATTAAAGAATCCCAACAGCCAACAGCAACACCGACGTAAATAACGAACTCCTGTAGTTGTTTTGTTTTGTTTGTTTTTCCACCTCATTATTAATTCATCTAAAAAATGTAACATTCTACATCTATAATTTCTTTCTCAATATCTTTCATAATGTTTCCTGACGATGTGTCACTGAATGTAACACGAAAGCTTGAATCGTTTTATTTCTGTTTGAAATAAATTTATAAAAAAAAATTATGATTTTTGCAGCAGTTATCTCTTTATTTTCATATTTTTTTCCTACTGCTCACTCTCCTAAGATTATTAGGTTTCATTGATAAGAACCAACCTAAGAATGTAACATATTCAGAGGAATGTTTATTTCATTGTACAATTTTTTTTATGCATTGCGTAAGATTTTGAAGGTGTGAAAAAAGGTACGAATAAAAAAAGAAAAATAGCAGCGAGTAGTTTCGATCTACCGCCCTCTGAGTTATGAGCCCAGCACGCTTCCACTGCGCCACGCTGCTTGTGTTCGACTTTCAGGTAAAAAAACATCGTCACAATGATAGCCTTTTTTCAAAATTATTGCATTCATATGAATATCCTATGTAATCAAAATTATTCTGAAAATCTTTTGTTTTTCTTGTATGTCTTTATATGTCAAGTCAGTAATCTACTGAGTAAAAGATGGCATGTTTATTAGTAAAAAATATCTATTTGTTTCCAAGATATGGCTTGATTAATCTGTTTTTTTTACGTCTTCCTATAATATTGGTTTTAATGAAGCAAAGAGAGACATGATTGAATAAATTTTAAAGTACTGAACCAAAGTAAGCGATAGTCGCAAAGGT